CTGAACCCTCGATAATGAGGAAGGTGTTCCGCCAATCCTTCCATTTGTTCGCCTTACCTCTCGTCATGAGGTAGCCCCTATGGCTTGTTAATTGATACCAGCCGGTACCTCCCGACTTAGGGGTCCAGCTGAGATAGTTCATGTGGGCGAAAGCCTCAAAGCTTGGCTCCACCCCGTACATTTCGCACCCGGCCACATAGCCGAGTACGTTTACCCAAGAGTTGGGGGCTAACTGCCATAACCCCAAATCATACCCATCTAAAATCCGCTGAACAGCCGGATGTAATGGGAAGCGCAGTCCAGCTTTGATGGCCGCCACATAGCAGCCAAAGCAGCCGTCATCATAGCTGGTACCAGCCGGCCAGACGACAGTGTCTTCTGGATCCGGCACGAACAGTAAAAATTCCGGGCCCATTCTGTGGTTAGCTATAAAGCTCTCCACTTTGTCTTGCATGGTTGCGATTCGGCCCCGGGGTACCGTGCAGTAGTAGGGGGTGTTTTCCTCTCTGTAAGAGGCGGACGGCTCCGCCCAATTGTCCCCCTTCTCAACTGCATGAGAAAGCCTCGCCTCTTGTAGGCGGCTGTTTCTTTCTTTTGAGCCTGGAGAAGCGTGGCCAGAAGAGCTGGACTCGGACTCGTCCTCTGACGATTCCGAAGAGGACGACTCCTCCCCTCTCCCAGAGGGGCCCGCCTTCTCTCCCTTAGAAGGAGCAGGAGGAAAATAAGACATGTCAATGGTGAAATGGGAAGGGACCACCTTGACCCCTCCCTCAGAACTGCCGGCTGTCAAGCCGCTTTGCTTCACTTCTACATCTGGCGCCTGGTCAGATGTTTCACTAATGAGCACCCTTTGGGAGGAGCCGTCCGAGTTTGAGATCATAGCAGTCTTTTTCGTTCTGGCCATCACGTTCTGCATAGACACAGATACAGTCGGACTTTGTATAAAGGGCAAAGATGGGTCCAGAAAAGGGCAGGCGGCACTCCTAGTCCTAGATTCAGCCGTCCCCGGTGACCGGCTGATCACTAACTTAGGTCGTGTCGTGTGCTTCCGTGGTGCCATTTCAAAAAAAATAAAAAGAAAATTAAGAGTAAGAGAACTGAGTTACCTGAACGAGTGACGGTTGATGAAGTTCTGGAAATCCGGTGCAGTCGGCTTGTCAGAACAGGCGGTAGGCAGAAAAGGTCCGAAATGTCAGAGCAAGTTCAGGGGTCCGAATGTTCTCGCAAAGTTCTCAAATGTGAAAATGACCGAAGTCAGCACTTCCTTATATAGGCAAAGTGAGAAGGCGAAGGGTCGCTTCCAAATTCAAAATTTGGGCGGGAAAATCTCTCGGCCATTTGCAAGGTGACACCTGTAGAGGGCCGTCGCCTGTCACCGTGCGGCACCTGTCACAGGTGACACGTGACCAGTCACGTGCCACCTGTGAGGGGCAAATGATTAGGGGATTTTTATCCACCAATCACCGTCTGACAAGTGGACCAACCAGGTTCCGCCACGTGTCCTTCACGTAGGCCAATAGGAGCCTGCCACGTGTCAATCACAGATACGTCCTCTACGGACCAATTGAGACACGCCACGTGTCCACCCATGCCAAATGGGAAAACCGGCCAACAAGGCCCAATCCTGTCTAGAGGCCCGGTCAGCCCTAGGTTTACCCTAAACCTAGAGAGTGGCACGCTTCTCAAGACTATAAATACTTAATTAATCCTCATTAAAGGGGATCAAGCAATTAATCTCACCTGAAGAACAGAACAGAAACATTACGGAACACACTAATAACCGGCTGATCTCGCTAACAAAGCAGATTACCAACATTAAACTCTCTCACCTAGAGAGACCTTATTACTTTAATTTCCGCATTAATTACTCCTTAATCAGGTACTAACTTGACCGTTGGAGGCGGAGCTCTCAGGAGTCTCCGTTATTTTGCAGGTACAGGCGTCCGGTTCCAGTCTCGGAATTGTAACTCTCCCGCAGGACATCAGAAAACCCCGAAACACCTCTTATGTTCAATCTAGGCCTCGTAGTGTAACCTTATAGGATCCGTTCTAATGGGCTTTGGCCTATTTTACTAGCCCAAAGATCATTAGTACCTCTAGTTATGATATAACGACGATCCAAAAGAACGAACTTAATTATCTCCATAATTCAATCCATTATATATTTAATAATTACACTTGAGGAAGACATAATTCATTCAGTGGTATGGTACAAAAAGTCTTTTTTGTGAGGATATAGATTTTGTGCGTGAATATGAAAAAAAAATGATTCGGAATATATGTACCGTGTTACGGTACATGTAACGTTGCACGATACGTTGTGTATTGTAGCATAATACATTCTATTTATTTGGAAAATGCCTTTCATATAATTCTTTAGGCATTGTTGGATTCATTTCACAAAATACACAAATCTTTAGGCATCGTTTTACCATTTCGGATTCATTTCATGGATTAGGGTTAGGTTTAGGGTTTGGGCTTCATTAAAATTAGGGAAAGGTTTTAGTTGCAGGTTTGGGCTAGGAATAAGGATAAGAAGATGGTTTGGATAAATTTTTGGGCTACAAAAGGGTTTGTTTAGCTGGATTAGGTAGAAATGAATTAGGCTATGTGCATGGTTTTAAACACTCCACAGATTCAAATCATTCAATACGCAACCCGACCAATGACGGCAATGAAAGGTTGTTCATCATCGATAAACTCATAAAAAGACCTGGTCCACGTTAATTTATTTTGGACCACTAAAATTAGAGGCACTATAGTCGTTTTATTAATAAAAAAAGTCACTATATTAAAATAAATGTTATTATATTAAAATAAAAGTCATTGTGTTTTATAAAGGTCATAAGAGGTTAATTTTTTTAAATGAAAATTTTTAAATACTGGTCAATATGAATTATAAAGGTCACTATGTTAAAATTAGGGTCCCTATGTTTAACTTAATGTTATACTTGGAATGAATGATGTCCTTCCAACAAGTGTATTATTCTGATAGAGGGTTCAGAATTATTACAGAGCTAATTCTTCATAAAGGTCAAGTGATCGGAATGCCTAGGTGGAGGCCGCTTCTAATCAGTAATATCAAGGTATAATTAATATTACAGCTTAATCTTATCTGAACCCTTCGGGTCGAACCCAATCGAACAACCGATCCGAGACGACGAATTAATCTGAAGGATTCAATGAGTCGTCGGAGTTTTACAAACACAGACGTCGGATATCGAGCCTAGAGCGTCGAGACCGAGCGTCGCAAAATCACAAGCAACAAGTACGGGCATAGCCGTAGCATCACATTGGCCTAGCCATGTGAGTGTTAGGCTAGGCTAGTTCATCGCAACCCTAGGTGCACCATATGTGTGCTAGGCGCGCCATGAGTGCTAGGCGCACAAGGCAGCCCATTGCAGCAGCATGTGTGCATGTGTGCGTGCCTTTGCATGGCACAGCACCATCGCAGCATGTGTGCATGGGTGCCTAGGTGCCATCGCAAGCTCTAGCACAAGCCTACGCATTGCACAGCACTATCGCATGGCTAGGCCTGTGCGTGTGTGCGTGTGCATGCATGGCATCGCAGCGAGCAGCATGCTAGCAGCCTCGCTTAGCAGCACCGTGCCTTCGCATAGCTGCGTCCTTGTGTGCGTGCCTTCACATGGCAGCACCAAGCACAGCGAGCTAGGGGCAGTGCCAGGCAGCAAGCAGCCAACAGCGAGGGGCCTCGCCTAGCGCCCAGCATGCCTAGCATCATGCGTGGCTCGCTAGCAGCACACATGTGCTAGGCATGCTGGCTGGTGCGCGTTGCGTGCTGGGCAGTGATGCGGTGCAGGCTAGCTGTGCTGGCTGGTGCATGCTAGCATCCTACCTGGCTGCCAGCCCAACAGTCCTTGCTTAGTGCCGGTTTTGTGAGAGGTGGGGACCAATGCTTGGAGCATGCCTTGGGGAGCAAGGCAATGGTCCCCTCCATGGTCATGGTCCTCACCTAACTCTTTCTATTCCCTTGACACTTGTTGCATGGTGATTGCTTTTATTAATTATTTAATTTAGAATTAAATAAATTATCACATTTACCCATTCTCCCACATTTATGGGAGATTGAAATTCAAGGGTTCATTTCCCTATAAATACCAAGGCTTTGGCATTTGGGAAAGAACACACTTGAGTGGAACTATATAGGCATCTCCATTGTTGAGAATACCTTAAGTTTGTAAAACTCCAAATTTATATTTTGTTCGGGTCCCGACTAACCTTCGAGACTTAGGACGATCGGGTCGGGTTCGAGGGTACGAACCGTCGGAGGCCTTGCATTTGCGAGGTTGAAGTAAGAGCTTATTTAGCGAGCGAAGCACGCGTCTAGGGTATAATTCTTTATCCCTTCTTCTTTTAATTATGTATTAATCATGTTTGCATGCTTTAATTGCTTTAGTTATCGGGGCGGGTCTTGGGGGGTTTCTTTCCGCGTAGTGAGGGTCACTACGAAACCCTACAGCGATATCGCAACCGCGCTCCTTTTAATTATTGCAATTAGTTATTAATTAAGGTGTTTTAAAGTAGATTTAAATTCTGGTTTTGCTTTTCTAATTGGATTAGAAGCTCGTTTTAATTAATTTTAAAACTCGTATTTTTTTCTCGTTTTGGCTGTCGAACCCAGGATTTGGCTCAAAAGTAGTGTTTTTTGGGTGGAATCGACATTCTGAATCAGTTTCATTCCTTTTTAAGACCTGTCCAGAAGCCAAATTCGAACCAGAAACCCAGTTTTTTGAGGGTTTTTTTTGATTTTCAACGAAAATTTTAAATCTTTTATGCCTTGATTAATGCAAGCATGTCAAGGGTAGATTAAATGCATTATTGCATCCCTAATCTACTACAATTTAAATATCTTTTAAGCATGATTATGGAGTTATAATATGTGCTTAAGTTGATATGTTCTTTTTCACATAAACTTGTTTTTCACAATTATGCAAATAAATTGCATTAATATCACTACTACAAATCCCTTAGTTTCTAGACGCTATTTGCTCGACGCCAGGTAACAAGCGTTAGCCAAAAAATTAATTTCCGTATTTTTTCGACGCTTTTAAGCGTCACCATTGGAATCGACACATAAAAGCGTCGAAAAAAAGACATGTGATATTGCACGTGACTATAGTCCATCCCGGGACTTCAAAATTTCAGGAAAAAAAAGCGGGCTAATTAAACAAAAAGAAAACCGCTCATACATACAGCAAAAGTTAGACTGAAGAAATAAAAAAAAAACCCTTTAGCTCCCCATTATCGAAACGAACCCTAACTCTTCTTTGCTTGTTCACAATCGCTCTCATCTTATCTCTTAAACCAATTGAAATTATTGAATTTTCGTTGCTCTCTTCAATATTATCTTCAATTTTCGGTAATCCTCTCGCTCTTGTCATCAATTTTCCGTAATCTCCTTGTTATAGGCATCGATTTCGTAGGTTTTTGTTGATATGTCATTCACTCAAATTAAGTTGCTTATGCTGAATTTTTGTTTATTCATTGCATGTATGGGAATTCTTTTTGCTAATGGGATCTCGAAACGACCGACGCAGAGAAGTCAAGAATATATATCACAGGTCATGGTCTAATTAATTAGATACTTTTTTATATATTACTTTTTATTATTGATTTGTATTTGTTTTGGTTGATTATGTTTATTGAATTGTTGATTTTTTGTATTAATTTTGTCAAATTTTAATTTTATTTGGGGTTTCTGGGTTGAAACTTTTTTATAAGTTGTGATTCTTGAAAGGAGATTTGTGTTGAGTATTATACAGAAAATAAATCTTAGTTCAGTTCTATTACTCTGAAATAGGCAGATTGTTCATAACTTTTGAAGGAAGGCAGATTGAGAAAGGTCTTATGCTAGGTACTAAACCATTTCGCTATTAACACGGGTGTTAGTTAATTCGTAGGCATGATCACCTCTTTCAAAAACAGCTGCAGCACCCATGCCACTACCTGTAAGTTTAGTAAACAATTTATGAGAGATAATTTTAGTAGCTTCAACTTTACAAAATTAGATTAGCTTCTATGCTGGATACATCAGTGTTGAGAAAGAGAGACAGACCTATACCGCAATTATCCAACGTTTTTCCTATGATTACATTTTTATTTTATGCTTTTCACAATTCCTCCTATGTTTGAGGTCAGTACCCATGTATTACTATATACTGAGTTGGAGCAGTGAGGATCTGGGTTTTTCTTTTAATTGGCTGTATATTTTGCTCCAAAGGACTAAGGTCATACTTGTAGGTTTTTTTCCATTTTTTTAAAATGTTTATTTTTTGGGATATTTTTTTGGTCTAGAAGCTTAAACATAATGCCATGGATTTTGCTGTCAGGCATGGCTGGATTATGTGTAATTTTCACGTTTGGACGGTTTGTCCTTGTTGAAGGACTGAGTTTGTTCTGTATTCGGTTACTTTCTGAATTTTGTGATATCCTGAATTGGACAAGTTTTTGTTCTTAACGGCTTGAGCGGGCCTCTGATTGCTTTGGTGCCTATAAATTTGTCAAAATCTCATCTCCTTCATGCACAATAACATTTCTGTCCTAACAACTTTACTGTGTTTCGACTGTATACTCCGTATATTGTTAATTTGTATTAGTCTTGGTAGAACTTAAACATTTGAACTGTAACCCTTAAAAGGTCAGATTTGGCCCAATATATAATGTTCTTCGTATTATTGAATGATTATTGTTACTGGTAAATTGACAGTAGCCTAGTAAGGTATAGCTAAGATTTGTGTTGAGAATGAATACTGCTAATATCAGGCAATGCTTTCCTCATTTTACTAATTTTTGAACTCTTAATTGATTTATCACCTTTCATCGATAACAACTTCCGCAAATTAGATTAAAGCTATTTGAAATTATAGTTTAGAAAATGAAAATAAAGGGGTTTGTGCTGCCTTCTGCTTGTTGTTTGTGCTGCTGCTTGTTGTTCTTGGTGTTCTGCCTGATGCTTTTTCTTTTTGATGCTTGCTGCTATCCTCTGCTTGTTGTTTGTGCTGTTGCTTGTTGTATGGTGTTGGTGTTCTGCCTGCTGTTTGCTGCCTTCTGCTTGTGATTTGTGTTAATGTAATTACTTTCAGTTTAGTTTTAATAAAATCAAGTAAACTTAACGTTGCTTAGAGTTCTTTATCATTCTTTAGTGATTCTAGGCCAAGAATCATAGCTACAAACTTTTTAAGACGTTAGATTATTATACATAACTCAATGCCTTATGTCCCACCATTCTACTACTAGTTAAATTGTTTGGTTTATGACTAATTATGGCTGATTCTTGTCATATACTAGATGATAGTCATTGTACTATATAGCAATGAAAGCTATATTTATTGAATGAAAGCTTAGGTGCAAAAAATGAAACACTATTTTTATAGCTTATTATATTATGAATAGTTTGATAGATTTCCATTTACTATATAGGTTGTATTAGATAGATTTTCTCATTTTGATGTATGTACTATAAACTTTAATAACAAAGAAAAAAAAAAGAAAGACTTCTTAGTAATAATAGAAGTCTCGCGAACAAAATTGAGCAAAAAAGCTGGTTAATTATATATTTATTATGTAAATTATTTTGTATGATTAGACCTTTTTTTTGTCTTCTTTTTTTAGTTCTATAGCATGAAAAGCTAAATTCACTATATATAAAAAAAATCCACTAATGTGAAATTTGTAAAACCAATAATTGTAATTAGCTAGCTAGGTGTATAATTTTAAGAGTCTAAGTCCTAAAGACCAAATGAATAAAACTTTGTTTCTTTTTCCATGCATCTATGATCATGAAAAGAACATTATGATTTTGTTAACATCACTGCTTTATTTAGCTCTATGATATATATTACACATGCACAATGCAAAAACAAAAATCTCATGATAAACATGCATATAAAGCTTTGATTTGTTTTCTCATGAAAACAAAATTAAATTACACATAAATCGCTTGCTCGTCTTATGTTTACTTTTTGGTATATACGAGTGATCGTGAATGAGTCTGTTCGAGGTTTATATGCTTGTTTCGATATGTTGTTTTCAGCATGATCACGAGTCCTGGAGGTTTCTTAGCTTGCTTGTTGTTTGTGTTGCTGCTTGTTGTATGTTGTTGGTGTTCTGCCTGCTGTTTGCTGCCTTCTGCTTGTGATTTCTGTTGCTGCTTGTTGTACAAGTTTGACTTATGTAAAAAATATATATAAATCTTAAGCCAATAGGCTAAAATTTATGACATATCTTAAAATTTGAAGTTGTGTTTTTGTGTTTAATAGGTGACAGAGGAGGAGCTTATCTAAAAATTGTTCTAATTGTGATAGTTGCTGCACTTAGTGAGTTCGAGGTAACTACCCAAATTCCTAAAATATCTTATATGTCATATAATTGTATATTATATTTTCGTGTCATATGTATGGTAGATAGCCCTCCCAAAATAGTTTTACGTAATTTATGATATTGATCATATATGAAAAATGTAAGTAATTAAGTTGTAGATTTGTAGTGAGGTAGTATATTATATATAATTCATTATGTCTTATCTATGTGCTTATTAATTATATTAAATTAATACATGTATGTATCAATTTTTTGGTGAATGCTTCCATGTATTATTATGTTTGTTGCTGTTAAGCATTGCTGTTAGTCTGTTTGTTGTTGAGCATTGCTGTTAGTCTATTTGTTGCTGGTGGTCTGTGGCAGAGACTAGGGAGTCCCCACCTTCGGCCCTGCTCACAAGCTGCCCTCTCCTTTTCACTGAAGACAATTCTCACTCAACAATTCACTCAAGAAAGATAATAAACAGAAATTCGCAAATTGCAACAACAATTTAATTGATTGGATAGGATAGTTAGAATTACAATAAGGTTGTAAGACAAAGTAATTCAAGGGATAATAGTTAACAGCTATCACTCGCCAATAACTTGAGGTTACTACTCTCCAATTGTTCCTTACAAATTTCTGGATACCTCCTGCTCCCCCCCCCCCCCCTTAACTTAAATATTACATTATACTTCTTAATTTAACTAAACATAGTTAATTACAAACGAGAAAGAGAGCCCAAAGTCATATTTCCAAAAGGGTGAAAGCCTGCTCTCTGCCTTCTATGCTTAAAATAGGTTCTTCCAAAAAGCACTAAGTTCCCTAGTATGCTTGTTGCTTAGTACGATGTGTTATTGCTGCCTGCTTCTCTGCTTGCTTGCTGCCCCATATCTTTGTTTTGTTGTTGCTGCTCCAAGTGAGGTTGCTGTTGCTGCCTCGAATTCCGAGTGTGGCCTGAAATGGTTGACCAGTGATTGGGTCCATCACAGTCTGTTTGTTGCTGTGCATTTGCTGGTGGTCTGTTTGTTGTTGTGCATTGCTTTCTAATCCTTCCATCCACAAGCTGATACTGAAAATGCAATGTTTGCTGTAATTTTTGGTGCTATAAAGTTTTATATTATACATCTGTATTTTCTTTTAACAATCAAATATTATATTATACTTATTATATATTTTTTTTTTAAGGTTATGAATGCAACAGGAGGACAAGGAAAATCTACTAAAGATGGAAATTAGCCTACTAAGCACCTTCTTTTTTTTTAATAGTTAGTAATATATATATATATATATATATATATATATATATATATATATATATATATATATATATATATATATATATATATATATATATATATTTGAAAAAACTTATTGTATGTTTTATGATTAACGTGCTGAACATGCTCTGCTGTTTATTATGTTCTGAGTTTCTAGTTGCTGCCCATTTGGTTTGGTTTGCTTTTGGTGACTATTTTAGGTGCTGGCTGCCTGGGGCTGTTGGTGTTTGCTGCTTGAGTTTGATCTGCTGCTACTGCTGGCTTGCTGCCATCTAGTGTTGGCAGGTTTCTGGTTTTGTTGTTGCTGGGGTGGTGTTTTGTTGTTTTGTTGTTTTGGTTTGTTGTGTATGCGATTGTTTTCAAGCTTATTGTTTTTTTATCTGGGTTTTTAGTTTGGTTTGTTGTCTTATTCCGTTGGTTTATTTGGTTTATTTTGGTTTGGTGTCTTGGGTGTTAAGCCGTTGGATCATTGGTGTTTGTAATTTTTTGCTGCTTTGCAGCCCTCTTGGTAATAGAATATTATTGGTAATTATCATATATATATATATATATATATATATATATATATATATATATATAAACAGTAGAAAAAAAATCTAGACGCTTTTTGTTGTCAAGATATTTTACTTTAATCAGTTTCAAAATTTCCCGCCACTATTTCTATGTGGACATTAAAAAGCGTCTCAATTGATTTTGAGACTGAAAACAACGTCGACAATGTAGACATGAAAAAGCGTCTAGAAATTTGGTGGTGGTGCTTGTATACCGAATTTCTTGACGGTTAGTATATTTTATAAGACGTTTATAAGCGTCGATATTTAAGACACTAAAAAGCGTCACAAAATATGGGGACATAAAATGGTGTCGAGATTTGTGACACGAAAAAGCGTCGCGAATTTCTCGACGCTTTTCCACGTCGTAAATAATGGAAAAAAGCGTCTCAAAAGGACGGGATTTGTAGTAGTGTATGTGAATACTTGTTGTGTATATGTAATTTTAAGTTCCTAATATGTTAAAGATCTAATCTTTAAATGTTTAAATGATTGAAACTCTAACCCTAAATCCCATGATTGAACTAATTTTGGATTTTTTCATGTTTGGTTGATTAAAATCCTTGAAGTTCAAATGCTTGTGAGTAAATGTTGATTAATTTTCATTGGAAGATGTAATCTTGTTATTTTACACAAGCATAAAAGTTGGAAAATTTTATCATTGGATGATTAGTTTAATTTTCCAACTTCCCTATTTGTCAAATCCATTATTAATTTACATATTGGTTAAATTAATTATGGACATAGCTTTTTCAATTTTAAGTATCAAGAAAGACCTAATAATGTTCCAAAGTAATTTTGGAAAATTAGGCTTGTGCACCGTTAAAATTGAATTTAATTAACTTGGACTTATTTTATTTTCATTTTTCCCTAAATTAATTCTAAAATAAATTTAGATTAATTTTACGTCGCACGTAAATCGGGATTAAAATCCCGAGAAAAATGCGCGCAAATCGAGGCAAAACCCCAAGCGTCACCAAGGCTAGCCGGGCTGCCCAGCAGCCCGTATGTAGGCTGCCTATGGTGCGCACATGGGCTAAGCATCGAAGTGGCGCTGCTGTGTGGCGAGGGGATGCTAGTGCACTGGTGCTTGGGCAGTGGCGTTGGTTGTTGGATGCTTGAGGATGCTGCTGGGCAGCATGGTAGCAGGCCCCAGCCAGCCCACCACTTGCTGGCAGGCGCTAGCATGCGTAGCAAGCAGCTGGTGCTAGCCAGCGTAGTGTGCTATGCTGGGCGCAGCATGTTAGCACCAAGCACCACGCACAGGCCATGGGCTCCCTAGCAGCCATGGTGCACAGCCCGCTAGGATACTAGTAGGCGGTTTTGGCTTAATTTCAAGCTATGCGTTTTTGCGAAAATTTTGCCGTTTTAAAATAATTATATAATTATTTTAAACGAGGTTAGACCTCGATTTTTCGGCTCTTGCAAAAAAAAATTGTTTTTTATTTTTTTTTATTTTAACAAATTTGGGTTAACCGGCTTAATTAATTAGATTAATTAAGTTGGATGCGGAATTTAGTGGGAGTTTAGCTAATTACGTGAACAAATTGCACCTTAGTAATACATAATTTATTAAACAACTTTGACTAGTTTCAATTAGGCGCGTTAATCGGATTAACCACCTAAGTTAGTTACTAGTTTTGCGTGTTTACTTGTATTATCTTGTAAAATGCATGGGCCATTCACAAATAGTGAATGGGTGAATGAAAGATTGTTTCAAAACAGGTTTTCAGAAAAATGGCAACTAGTGGGACCCGACTAGGATAGAAAATACGGACTGCGTTCCGTTACGTATTTTTGTAAATCTAAATACGATCTGCATACCGTTAAGTATTTTTGTACTTTAGATTAATCTTAGTCGTAGTAGCTAGTAATTTTATTTTGGCAAAGATGTCTCAAGACGGCGTTTCGATGAAAACGAGCCAAGATGAAGGCCCTTGAAGATTTCAAGGGGTCATGCTAATTGCCAAATGCATCTATTTTTTATGCCTTATATATATTGTTATATATATTTTGAATGTTAGATCCATGTCTAGGATTTCAAATGTTGCGATGATTAGTTAAGTTTACTTAAACCAACCAATATAGAAACACTAGGTCCTTTAAAATATTGAGCTAAAATTTTGTCGTTCCAAGAACAACACTTACCGAACTAATGCGCGTATGTGATGGGCTACGCCAAAGCGAGGCATCACTACTTCCCTAGGAACGTAAGGTATACTAGGTATACAAGTTGTCTTGGTTAAGCTCAACGATATCAGTAAGGAGTCCTTAGATGTCGTGGCAAAAGAGATAAAATGTCAAGAATGCATTAGATGTAACGTTTTATCAAACCGAGAGTAGCTTAGAGCTATTAGCAATTGGATTGCTTACCTTAAGATATTTAATGATTAAGACAAGCCAAATCATGCTTAACCATTTCTTGATCTTTAGGATCTCGGAATCATTTTATTCTCGCCTAAAAGGGACAAATTATTAATGCGTGGATAAAATGCTCAATAAGATTGAAAATTTGCATAAACGCTTTTAAATTTCAAACTTATTGATTATATGAATGATTTTTCATTTCAAATTCTTTCAATTGTAGAACAATATCTGGTAACTCAAACAACAACCAAATGTGCCCGGATTTCCCCAACAAGTTGGCATTTTGCCTAAACTTGGTAAACTTCAAGGAGGTGGGAGGAAGAACTCAGGAAAACTCTTCGGAATTGTTCCTTGGAGTACACTCTTGACACTCCCATTCCAAGCTTCTTCTCTAAGGGGATCATGATCGATGAGGCTCATGATGAATGGTCTTCTAATTGCAAGAAAGTCTCACGACTTATGGCTAATTCCATCCCGGAAGATTGGAAGGAAAGCCTTTCCTCCTACCTTCCGGACATGTTTCTCAAAGCACTTGAGGACGTTGTTAATGTAAGAGTCACCAAGAGTGACAATGTCAACTATGATGTATTCGTGTTTGATTTGACTAAGTCACTCTCAAATATGAAGATAAAGCCACCGAGTGGGTTGTCTTGCTAGAGAAAGGCGTCGGCTTTGGACAAAGGTCTACAATGCCAAATTGAGACCCGGCATGCCCCTCCGACCTCATGTGCTTGGAATGACTAGGCTCTTCAAACACATACAACTTCTCGGAATCTCATTGGAGGATGAGATGGCGGGGCATATCTTGCTTGCTTCGCTCCACTCGGGCTATGATGCATTTAGAATGCATATAGCTGCGGGAAAGGAGACACGCTCCTTAATGGAGGGGGTGCAACTTCTTAGCCGAGCCACCGCCTATGGAGTGACCGAGAGGCCCTTGAGAGCAAGGAGAAGAGAGTTCAAGAAGGTCAAGGCAAAGATGCGTTGCTTCTATTGTGGTGGGCAAGGCCACTACAAGAGAGAATGCAAGCTCTTCCGGGAGGAGGAAGAGAGGAATGTAGCATCTTCCTTAGGTATCTTCCTTAAACACTTGTGAATTAAGCTTATCATAGGTATTAGATACCAAGTATGACTCACTTCGTGTTGCCTTTTCAGGGACCAAGTGAGAAGCTTATCAAGTGTACGTGCAAGGACAAGTAGACGACGACGGTGGTTTTTCGGTTGTGCTTGCATGCACTATTTTGTCTATGACATGTAATTAAACTAATCTTAGTTTTCATCATGCTTTTGAACATACTATGATCTATGGTGTTGGACACCTAGTTATTTTGAATGTAAGACTTTGACAATGGTTGTTTCAAAATTGTCTTGCAAATATATGTTTAATGAAAATTGCATGATTTTGACATATGATTAGACAAAAGTTGATACCACTACTTAAACTAAAACCCCTAAGAATTCACTTTCATTAACAAACACTAGTAGACATGGCTATGTCTACCTAATGTCGAATAAATCTGAATCTTTTGAGAAATTCAAAGAATTTCAGAAAGAAGTTGAGAATCAACTTGGCAAGAAAATTAAAGCACTTTGATCGGATCGAGGTGGCAAATATTTGAGCCATGAATTCGACGATCACTTGAAAGAAAATGGTATTCTTTCAGAGCTGACACCTCCCGGAACTCCTCAATGGAACAGAGTATCCGAACGGAGGAATCGAACCTTATTAGACATGGTTCGATCAATGATGGGTCTTAGTGAACTTCCTATCTCTTTCTGGGGACATGCGCTACAAACCGCGGCACTAACACTGAGCTGAGCTCCGTCAAAAGCTTTTGAAAAGACTCCATACACTAGTAGAAAAAATGAATTAGGCACCGCACCTTTCGCACCGGTTCTTGAAAACCGGTGGCAAAAGAAATGGGCGGGATAAGCTAAATGACTTTTCGCACCGGTTCCTATTAAAGGAGAAAAGGGATTTGCCACCGGTTCTAAGAAAAACCGGTGCGAAATGTTAAAAAAAAAACCGGTTTAAGGCTTTCTTTCTTCTTCTTTCTTTTTCCCCCTGCTTTCCCTCTTCGTTCTGCTCTTCTCTTTC